GAATAGGGATACATATTGTAATTATATCTAGGGCTGTAGGGGTACAAGTGTCATTCACACTAAACCCTAATTTACTTTCCTTTTACAACATTTTTAATGAAAATTTGAGTTTTTAGTGGAGAGATAATCATAAAATTGTCTATTAGGGACTCTAGTGCTACAAAAGAAAACGAATAGGACTACAATTGGCACATTTTCAATAAGTATATTCAAGAAACGCAAGTGGTACTTTGACACTTACTGCGAGAAGGAGAAGCCATTAATGCTGCTCCTTTTCTTTTACTCTTCTTGGGCTGCTCACGATTTCTTAACTTAAATCGAATCGAAGCATATCTTCATGATCAATCAGGTTTCTTCTATATATAATACTTGTACCCAGATTCATATTCCTTGATAATCTAATCATAATACAAAAAGAATATAGATGCAATTCTCGAAAAGAAACATTTACGCAATTCACTAGCATTCATACTACTGATCAGGATTCTAATTTTACACGAAGAAAACTCATTCAATCGATGTTCAGTGGATAGGTTGTTTCAATCATGTGCAGAAACAAAATTAACTGGAAACTCGACTTCTGGTAGCGCAATCATCCATCATCCATAGTTATACGGCCATTAGATCACCATATTGGCGCATTAAAATGATGGAGCCAGCGAAGAGACCTAATGCACGGAGTAATTTCTGCACCAAAAGAAAAAAGGCGGAGGCGAAAACAGTAATAAGCAAGACAAAGTTTTTAGACAGCTAAAAAAGGAGAGATTTTCTGGAACAAACGAGGCAACAAGCAATTCAACACACATTCTTGATCATATAGAATATAGACATTACAAGAAAATAAATAACTCTGGCTATTTTTTTGTAGTCAGTTCCAACCTGAACGAAGGAGGAGGGTTGCGGCCCGGCAGGTAGACAGCTTGCACAAAAGCTAGCCGTGTCAACCATATCATATGGATTCTAATACACATTGTTCACACAAAAGTAGAACCATATGTAACTTGCAATGAAACTATACGTGTGATAAATTTGCCATTGAAGAAGACATGTTGCATTAAAACTATTGAGATGAATTGGAAAAATAAATGGCCTCAAAATCATCTGACTACAGGATGAATTCGGGTTTCGTGCATTGCTCTCCACACCTAATATCTATGACATTTCATCTAAGATTGAGCAGAGCTATGCTGATAGAAAGGAAACGAATTCGTCAGCATAGGAACACCACTCGGATCCCCCCTTTTCCTATCTTTCATTTCAAATGCTAATTCATCTTATTATTTTACTGTCTAACATTTGTAGACGAAATATAATGATCGAAATACATGATAGCTCCATTGTCCAAACCATACACCGAGAGTTCTCTCTCTTGAATTTAAAAGAAGCCATTTCAAGTCTTAATGCAACACTCTTTTACAATTTCCTATTAAAAATAAACAGCAAAAAAAGGAGAAGGACATGAATTGCTGGAATTAAGCATTTCAAAACTCAATTAATAACTTCAAGGAAAAAAGGGAAAAATTAGGTATGTGGACTAATTCATCCAATTCTCAGCATGATTTAATCCAAATTGCCCATTCAACGTACTTAATTATTTTTATTACCATAATATAAAAAGTTTAAGCATCACTAAATCAATGAATAATTATTAATTCCAGAGCAAAAAAATAATCCGTAAACCAGGCCTGAGTTTGAGACCAAAAGCAAATCATGGAAGCAATAATTGAACGTCTGAAACCCTAACTGAATTGAAAAATTCGTATTCAATTTCTAAATAAATAGTTTTGATAAATAGAATCAGACGATAGCATAAACAGAGAAGGGGAAGCATAAAAATCACCTTGTTGAGATCCCATTTATCTGGATCATGGATCTGTGAATGATAAAAAGCTTTGATCTTTTCCACTGATATCATTGCATCCGCCATTTTTAACCTTCTTTTCTTCTGGAGATAGAGAGGTAAAGACTGTTTTTCGGTTGTTTGTGTTGTCTGTGTAGGGTTTTAGAGGGTTAAAAGTTTCAAGGCTTATTTGCACATATAGTCCCTAATGTTTGGGCTGGCCGAGGTTTCTATGGCTTTAATCTTGGTATTGGCATTTACATCCCCATATGAAACATTTATTACAGAATCAGCCCTTTCTATCCATAACTAGTTGTAGACATTTTTATCTGAAATCACCCGACCTGATCCAGAACTAGACTGAACCAGCCAGTTCCGTTCAGTTCGATTTTCATTGAATCAATCAATTTTGTCCAAGTTCTCAATTCTAACTACAGAACCAAATTTTGACTCGGTTCTGAACATATTTATTATAATATCTCAGTAAACTGGTATTTATATAAATTCATAATAATTGAGAGTTATATTATTTGAAATATGAAGCATGTGCTAGAACAAGATTGAACCAGCCAGTTTCGTTCAGTTCGATTTTCGTTGAAATCAATCGATTCTGGTTAACTTCTCAATTCTAACTACAGAACCAAATTTTGACTCGGTTTCGAACATATTTATTATAATATCTCAATAAAATTGTATTTATATAAATTCACTTATATTCATAATAATTGAGAGTTTTATTATTTAAAATATGAAGCGTGAAAGTGGAATAAAAAAAATTGATGCAACATTTAAACTTTAAAATTTATTTTTGAAACATAAAAAAAATCATGCTACAACCAATAGTTCCATGGGAATGACCACAACCAATCGCTCTAGGTCCTTTTTCCCTATAGAACCAATAGTTCCATTTTTACAATTTTCAATGTAAAATCGGTACGATCCAATTCTCAAGATGCCGGATCGAACCATCCTATGTTCACCTCTAACCATAAATTCATAAATTCAGTGACTAGATATTTTAATAGTATAGTAATTTGACATTTATTTTATTTATTTTTTCTATTTGCCCTGGTAAAGCAGAATATTCCTGATTAGAATCATAACTGATGATGTGTGATGTTAAAAGAAAGAAAATGTGATGGAACAACTGGGTCATGCCTAATGAGTAATGAACACGTATTACAAAGTGAGACTAGGGATGACATCGAGGTGGATATGAGGTGGGTCGACCTTTTTCGTCCCTTGTCTTCTCGGATATTTTTATTAATTATAAAAATCTGATCATTGCTAGGTAATATCTAAATAAAAGTTTTATAATCTTGCACTGTTGCTAATTTATTCGTTTCACCCTATTTTAATTACATTTAAGGTCATCGATATTTGCTCTAACTTGTCCCTATATTTTTTTGGTTCATTTCCATCCCTCGATATTCCATTAAATAAATAAATAATGATAAAAAATATATTATTTTTAGATCAATTTACACAACATATTGGTATATTTATACAAATATTCAATGTAAGTCCACGATTCCTTATCATAATGTACTTTGAGTTTCACTTTTCCTTTATCTTTTTTTTTTTGTTAATGTAGGAACCCCCAACCGCTACCAGTTAGCGGAGCCTCGACCACCCCGAAGAACGGAGACCTGACTGTTGGATAATTGCCTCAAAAGTCAAAAATTGGAAGACTCCTATTGCAAATAATAAAAGGTGTTTATTATAAATGGGTGAAATGAAAATAAATTTCAAGGAAAGTAATTGTTTAGAAATTATTTTGTAGGAAATTGTGAATAGAAAATGTGATGGAACAACTGGGTTATGCCTAATGAGTAATGAACACGTATTACAAAGTGAGATTAGGGATGATATCGAGGTGGATATAAGGTGGGTCGACCATTTTCGTCCCTTGTCTTCTCGGATATTTTTGTTCATTATAAAAATCTGATCATTGCTAGGTAATATCTAAATAAAAGTTTTATAATCCTGCACCGTTGCTAATTTATTTGTTTCACCCCATTTTAATTACATTTAAGGTCATCCATATTTGCTCTAACTTGTCCCTATATTTTTTTGGTTCATTTCCATCCCTCGATATTCCATTAAATAAATAAATAATAATAAAATATATATTATTTTTAGATCAATTGACACAACATATTGGTATATTTATACAAATATTCAATGTAAGTCAACGATTCCTTATCATAATGTACTTTGAGTTTCACTTTTCCTTTATCTTTTTTTTTTGTTAATGTAGGAACCCCCAACCGCTATCCGTTAGCGGAGGCTCGACCACCCCGAATGGGCTGAGACCCGACCACTGTGAGTGCACACTAGGTAAACCCTGCTCTATGTGCATTAGCCCGCAAACCACATAGGAGAAGTAAACCGCACTAGGTAAGTTCGGTGAGACGGGCTCGACCAGGAAGTATTGGCAGGGGATTCGAACTCGTGACCTTTGGTCTCCGCGTTCACCTGCTTCATCAACTCGGCCACCCCCAAAGGGGTTTTTCTTTATCTTTTATTGCGTTTTAGGTAGGATTAGAGATGACAAAAAAATCCGTTCAACCTGGCCTATCCTTGTCTACGATCGAGAAACTTGGCCTCCTTTCTAAAGCTGAGGAATTTGGTGTCCTTTCAACTACTACTGACCCGGGAACCCTTTCGACTCTTCTGAACCTGAGCTTGGTTTTGTTTATTTTGGGTCCTTCATTTGTCTACTTGGTGCATGAAGACTATCCTTTGGAGATTGCATTGCAAGTTCTAATTGCTTTGCTCTCTGTAGTTGGTGGATCTGCTGCTTTTGCAACATCAAATCTTGTATCCGTTTTTCAGAAATTGAACTAAACTTGCATAAACAAGAAATTATGTGGCTTTAAGAATTAGCTCTTTCATTCCTCAGTTGTATATGGATTTTCAGTTCGAATCTCATATATTAATTTTTTTTTCTTTCTGAAATTGGGACTATTTATCCCGTGTTTGGTTTGGATTAAAATCAAATAAAAATGTTAAGTCAAAGTAAATAATTAATTTTAACCACACATCTCATAGGATCCATAATTTTTCAAATATACATTTCATCAATTTTTATTAAAATTTACTAAAAATTAATGTGATTTTAATATACACCAAATATGAGCTGCATAATTATACTTAAGCATATCAATTAGGAAACTTCATTACCAAATGTGAACTAACGTACATCATTATACGCATTTACTTGACAAGGTTCCTACTACGAGGCACATGCTTGTGCACCATTGGGCACTATACACACGGTGTGCTTGCACGAGGGAGCACAAAAGGTGCTTAACACCATAGTCGCAAACAGTGGCGGACTCAGGATTTCGAGTCTGCACGGGCGACTGTGGATCGTGAACCGTTGTACAATAAAATACTAAGAGCTTGTTTAATGTTCATTTTTTGCCAAAAAAAAAAAAAATTGCATTTTGGAATAGTGATTTGATGGAGAATGTGTGGTTAAAAATAAGGAAAAATTTTGAATTTACATTTAAAATTATATTATTGAAAAACCTGCCGTTGAAAGAAGAGGGGAAAACGTATTTTGAAAAAAAAAAAGAATCAAAAAGGTCTAAAATTTAAATATAACAATTATTTTGTTCAAATTAAACATATATAATTTGTTGTAAAAATTAACAATATTCACTAAATAATATTGTGGCCAAGTTTTGTATAATTCAAAGGAAGAGAACGTGTTCAAATTTTTATAATTGCATTAAAATGCTAAAATGTAAAATATATCATTCTGGCAAATTTGGTATCAAATTCAACGAGTTCCACAATGGTCAAGCTGTCAATATTCTAATGGTTGGTCATGGGGTTCGAATCTCCCCTTTATCCCATTTAATTTTGATAAAAATTGTATAATTTAAAATATTTCACAATAAAATGGTGGGAAAAGGGAGTCGAAATCGAGCTTTCCATGCATTTAATGTGGATTCCAACCAACTGAGCTACAAGGAATTTTGAAAACAAAACAAGTTACCAGGTATATATTCTAACCTTTATTTACTTTAATAAAATAAAATAAAAAAGTTCCCGGCGAATCCAGCACGAGTGGCCGCCGGAGCTCGTCGGGTGCTAGGTCTACCATTTGTCGCTCATGGACGTGCACTTACACCATTGTCAGGGACGGACCCAATGAAGTCTCAGTGAAGGAACATGTTTGCATTGATCTTTGGGCTACCCCAATTTAACAATATAAGTCAATGGTCTAGTTAAAAAACATAAAAATAAAAATTTGAAATGGAGCAAATAGTTGGCCCAATCTTATAAGATTGTCTTATGGGAAAATTACTTGAAAACCTGTAATTAAAAGTCAATTATCATAAATAAGGGAGAGTTAGTTTAAACTTCATATATCAGGTGATAATTACATTTTAATAATTATAATTAATAAAAATTTAAATTAAACGTAATATACAATATTCACCCACCCCCAATTCATCCCCAAACCATTTTTGTTTTCTCTCTCCTCTCCACCTCTCTACCCACCACACACATACCTATTACCATCGTCTCTGCTCACAACATCCTTCTTCCTTTACCCTCCCTCTCTCGCTCTTCCGGCGGCTCCTCTCCGTATCTTCTGACGGCTCATTCCCAATGTCACTACTCCTATCACTCGCTGGCAGTCCTCTAACATGCACCGTGAGTCCCCAGTAGTTTTAAAAAAGTTGAGCAACTCCTCTGCCTCTATCTTCCCATCATGATCGGAAACAAAGAAGTCCAATTTCCCTCAACAAAGTTTTTAGCTCCTCTTTCTTTACTTTCTCAGTCCCTTCCATGTCTATCATTTCGAACGCTTGAGGCCAGATTGGGATTCGTGGGAGGAAGACGACGTCGTTTGGGAGCTAAAGGAAGACGGATCGGTCTCGGATCTGGAAACAGGCCGTGATTTCTTGGACTTGAAAAGCTTGTTGGGAACGATTTTGATGAACAAAAGGTGAGAGAGAGAATGGAGAATGGAGTTTTGTGGGAAACAGAGATGAACAATCTGGGGTTAAATTGAGGGAAATTGTGGTGAGCCATAGTGAGCTTCCTCTTCAATGAGGCTTCGAATAATATCTCAGGATTGATTGCTGCAAACTTCAATGCAATTAAACTTTCTTTCATCTATTTTTTGTCAAATTATTCATTTTTAAATTTACCACTTGGATAGTATTATTACCACGGTGAGGCACTCAATCAGGTCATTTATTGCATCTTTTGTTGGTATTTTAATTTTATTTCATGTGGGATTTTATTGTTTTCGGATGTTGCTATTTTCTTCTGCAATAGGGTATGGTGATGGTTGTGGGTGTAAGGATGACCGGATTGATGTGGTGGTGGTGGAGGCGTAGTCGACGCCGCTGCAGAGTAAGAAGGTTGCAACCAGAGTTGGTGGTGTCGGCGAACCTTTTCTGATCTATGATCGCGATTGAATACTGGGTAGTTCGTTGTGACTGTTTGTGATCGAATGTGACCGTTTGTGACCAGTTGTGCCCTTTTGTGATCGATTGTGACTGGTGAATTGTGACTCGTTGTGACCAATTTGCCCTTTTGTGACCGATTGTGACTTGTGAATTGTGACTCGTGGTGACCAATTGTGACTGATCGTGACAAAAAAATTTTGGAAAAATTTGGAAATTGGCCGCCGGAACGGGCGTCTGGGTGATCGTCGAAATAGCTGTTAGAGTGATCACCCGAGAGTCACCGGAGCGACCACCGGAGTAATAGTCGGAACAGTCGCCGGACCATCGCCGGAGCGGTGCCAGAGATGGAGGGAAGGTGGTATAGTGAGGTGATAGGGGTGGGTGAGGTGTCATGGGGTATAAATAATTAATATATATTATAATTTAATATTTAATAAATCTATTTACCACCTGATTTTTGAAATAATTAGACAAATTTGTTAGTTTTGAAAAGTAATTCTTGTATGTAGGTTTTGTGTATTGTTCCCTTGTCTTATTAACTACAAACCCTTCCCAATGATTTACCTCACTCAAACGGCCAAACCTGAAAAGTGAAACCCCAAATTCCACCAAAGAAAATTCGAAGAGCTACAAGATGGAGAAAATTCGAATTTCGTTTGAAGAAGTTGTTTCATTGTAACAGTAATTCGGTTTGATTAATCCAAAATATCGAGCAAGATTTGTGAATTGTGAGTAAACTCTTTAGTTTTGCTAATGTTACTTGTCGAATATGATTATCTTGTGAGCACTAAATTGTCAAAAAATGAGATCGAAAGCTTCGGATGATTAAATAATGATAATGAATTGTATTTCCTTCTTCTTATTCAATTGATCGTCTTGTCAACTACAAACTCTTTATGCCTATTTTATGAATGAAATTCTTTCTTGCAACATTTTTTTGTCAGTATCGTTATATTGATGTTTCAAAACATTGGGTGCTATGTTTATGCGTTGTGCACATGGTGATCGTCCCCTTCGTAGTCCTCCACAAATGACCAACTTACATCACCTTCGTGTAGATTTTATTCTATGCTATCATCGATATACAATTTCAAGAATTGAATGATCGTTTCTCAGAGGTAAATATTGAGTTACTCTTTTGTGTAGCTTGTTCGTATCCACAAAATTCATTCTCAGCCCTTGACAAAAGAAAGTTGATTCAACTTGCCGGGTTTTATTCAAAAGATTTTTCAAAAGTAGGTCCCTTTACACCGGATTGTCAACTTGATAATTACATTTTTGACATTTTCTCTAACAAAGAGTTTGAAGAATTGAATGGCCTTTGCGTTCTTTACAAAAGTTAGTTTTGACAAATAAGAGTAGAGCATATCCTCTGATTTACAAGCTCTTGAATTTACACTAATTCTTCTGGTTGCCGCTGTTACGATAGATTGAGTATTTTCTGTTATGAATATTGTGAAGGATAGATTGCACAATCAGATTGGAGATAAGTGGATGAATGATAGCCTTATTTTTTATGTGGAGAAAGATATATTTTTAAGAATTAATAATGTAGTGATTGTACAAAAATATCAAAGTATGAGAACTCGTAAAAAACAATTGTAACATATTTTTTATTTTAGTATAATGTTTGTGTTATGATGTTATTATTATTATTTTTTTTACCTTCATGCATTCTTCCCTGACCACTGTAGTATTTTTTCATATGCGGTGTATGTTATTGTGAATCGTTTATTAACACCATATTTGGCCACCATTTTTCCAAAAATTCATTTTTTCAAAACTCATTTTCAACTACACATTCTCCTACAAAATAATATTACACGTAAATGGAAAAAAATTCCTTACTTTTTAACCAAAAAATCTCCAACAAAATACTATTTAAAAATATTCATTTTTTATCCAAAAATGAGGCTCAAGGGCCAAGTCTTAATGGCTAGTTTGTAGTACATATGTGTGTGACAGAGAGTGGAGTGAATAGGTAGGGATGAACTAGGTCATGCACTTTTACTTTTTCTGCTAAGAATTGCATTATTGATGACACGCTTTTATCACTTTTTGCATCACGCTTTTGCCTTCTTTACGACGGGTTATGACTGAAATTTTCAGCACAAAAATAAGTAAATAACTGTCTGAATTAAAAATGACACATCAAAGAATGGCAGAATTTTGGATAGTTCTAACTACCATATTAAGGGATTTTTTTCTTCTACTTCGTATATTTTTTTTTTCTTTCGTATTCTTAGTAGGTGTATGCATTTAAGAATTTAATATCTCTCTCTCTCTCTCACACACACACACGCATGCACATCCCACTAATTGTTGTATTGGTTAAGATCATGAGATGATGATTGGTGTGGAGTGGTTGACAAAGGACGATGGTGATGGATATAGTAGATAGAAATTTAATTTTATTTAATTTATGAAACCCAAAACTGAAGTTTCATTATGAAGATTCAATTGAGTAAAATGAAATGGGGACAATATCGACTCAATATTGATCAATTGGGGAAGTGGTAGCAAAAGAAGCAAATGAACGAAATATTTTATTTCAATCTTTTAAGAGTAAAATATACAAATAACCGACACAAACTCTTGCCTCTCTAAGTGGTGCTATAATGTTAGAGATTATAAAGTGCAATTGGTGGAAACGTGTTTCGAAGATTTCAAGTGTTGAATGAGTTGAAGAGCATCTAATTCCATCGTGTCAATCTTTAGTTCATATTTTTTCGCAAAGGCTAAGCTTCCTGAAGTGCTAGTGCCTCTTTGTCACCTACAGAAAAGTAGGTTGAATCGCTCATGCCTAGCAAAAGATTAGCAAGGATCCCACTTGGGCTGGCTCCTTTAAAGGCGGGCTATGCCAAGCTCATAGCATGATCCATGCCTTTCATTCTAGCCTAGCTCACGAATGGAGTATTTTATAGGCTTAAAATAGCACACTGTAAGTACCGTTGCAATGTCACAAATTACAAGTGCATTAGGTGCAAAAGTATTCATAGATTTCAAGCGTTGAATGAGTTGAATAGTATTTGATTCGATCACGCCAGTCTTTAGCTCATATTCATTCACAAGGACATACACTATTCACTTATTATCCATACATTTTGTATTACTTACATTTTATAAACATTTAAAAGCAACACAAGCAAAAAATGTTAGCCAGAGAAAAGTATGTTGAGTCGCTCAGACCTAGGAAAAGCCTAGCACTGGTCGCACTTGGACTGGCTCCCTCGAAGGCAGGCTATGCCCGACTAGTAGTACATGTCCGGGCGTGGGCTGTTCCGGGACTTTCTTAAACAATGCTTTCATTTCTAGATGGTATATGTTTGTGTTCTGCAGGAAGAACTGAGGATTTGTCTTTTATCTGGGATCCATTTATAATTGCTCATTTTATTTCCTGACACATATAGAGACAATACGAACCTTATTGGGATCCCTACCTTTTATTTCCTTTTCCCTGCCTTCACTACAGTAAACAGTGTACACAGACGCACTGCTACACACACAAAACACAGAGTAAACTTCAATTTTATTACCCTAAAAGAGTGAAAACAAATATGTTCGGTTCCAACACATTCTTGTCAAATTTACTTAGTTCCTTCATTTTGTTCCTATCACTAAATTAATGCTGGTATTTGACTAGAAATCTGATGAGACGAATATGCATGTATGCTCAAAGATGAGGTCGTAAAATTTACTTACATGTTTCAACTATATATAACAACGTTGTATATGGAGAAATAGTGTGTCCACATTTCTTGTCACGCTTTTATCCGGTTTTCCATCTATCCGTTAACTTATTGTATATTTGAGAGTAATATAAGTTGTTGGTCCTATTGAATATTTGAATAATAAGTGATTAATAATTATGGATCCTACTATAATATGTTGATATAAAAATTATTTTTTACCAACTTAATTATAATTTAAACTTTGCCTAACATGCACTAAATGAGGTTAGGTTAATCTATGAGTTAGGTCTGGTTATGACAGTTGAGTACTGAAATATCAGTTGGGAATAAGGATCAGTGCCCTTTTGTTTGCTGCAGTTTAGATATAGTCCTAGCTAAGGAGCTGCTGGCAGCCACAACCCCTTTAATTATTTTGGTTATGATTCTCTTTAGCATTTAGTTATGTGTTAAGGTCTTGAATTAAAGAACTTTTGACTTTCTAAATCACGGCCAACATTTATAGAATCAACGTGATTTTAGGATTATTATTTTCTTGTGTGCTGCATTAGTTCATAAGTCTGACATCCAGTTGAATATTTTCTTCACTCGAATGGACAAAACGCTGCCAGATTTGAGGTTTAGCAATCCAAGGTCTCTCTATCTCTCTCTCTCTCACACACACACACACAGAGGCCTTTGCGGTTGGTCAATACTCAGTCTTCTTGTTGTGTGAACAGAGTTATACAAAGAAAGGAGAGTGCTCGACTTGAATAATGACCTTCTCTCATATGTCGCTCTCGTAATATGTACACGGAGATTGATATGGTCCATCACCATAGAAAAAACGTTAACTGCAAGCTATACATCAACATCTGTGTTGTATAAAAAACAATATAATTTTATGTCAGATTGGCGTTAGAATTTGTGGCAACAACGATCATACCGACATAGTTTTTCCCGAATTTGGTCAAAGTTGAAAGCTTTTGCTAGAACATTAAAAGAGCTTGAATTCATTTTTGGTTAATTTGGACCATGCTTCAGTTAAACCATGTAAATGCTGTTTTCAGGCAAATTAATGTGGATTTTATTCAAGAAGATGGACCAAAATATACCTTGAAACATGATGAAAGTTCTTTCTAATCTTAATCATACAACCCTAAACTACCTAATTCCCATGTGATGCTTTTAGTGGCTTAATGAATGATTTTTATCAATTTGCAGGACATTCTTACTGCAAATGCAATTGAAGAAACTGCTCAACTATTTAGGCTTCACAAAATTTAATAGTCACGGTCTTTACTTCGCCCTCTAGAGTATTATTTACTCTCCTGTTCATTTTCAATAAGTCGTTAAGTACGAATCTCCACGATTTGTAGTTTCAGATGTAAAGAAAATAAAGACTAGTGAATGTTAATCATATTACTATTTGAAATAAATATATTTTTCTAATATATATAGAAGATATATAAGATGTTCAAACTTCTTTTAATTTATAAATTTTAAACAAATAATTCAAAAGTTAATAATTTTAAAAATACTGATTTTGTAATATGAAATGAAACAACTTATTAAATATATACTTAAGGGGTCAGTCTGTGGTTGATTGTACATAATCAATTGTTTGCTTGCAGATATTAGGAGAATCANAATTACTCTAATATACAGCTGCATACATATATCCAACAAAATTAATCAAACTAAACGACTCACATTTTGATTTCGATCGTGCCTCCCCCTCCTACAATATAGAAATAAATTAATCTATAAAAATTCAAAAAAAAAAAAAAAAAACTCAACAGTACAAGTTGCTTCATGCAATCTCACTGCAATTTTTTTGTGGTCCTTATCTCTGTGTACTTAGCACAAGCTTTAAAGAACCCTATATTGGTCCCTCCTATACTGATATCAATAATCTCATCCACCAAAACTTTTCAACTGGAACTTATCTAATTAATTTCCCTTTTCACTTCTATAATTCTTTGCATGTGTTTACAATAATAAATCTCTATCTATTATTGTCTAAATCTTCATTAATAACAACTAATTAAGAACAATTGTGTACAAATAATGTCCAAAAGGGTTCAATAGATATGTTATAAGCAAGGCATGCATGCTATACATTTCTTGCTGTAAATTTGCTCATAAAAAGCTATTTGCAGTTGGCAAAAAAGCATCACAGGTTGGTCCCAGTTGATCATTTTAACTTAAGAACCATATATTATAAATTAATAATTATGTAAATTTAAAGAGACAATGAATTGTTCATTATTTTATCAAAATTTTGAGTAAATTTACGTGTCAGCGTACATAGAGGCCACTTGGTGACGAACACGCCATAGCTTTCCGTTTCATCCCCTATGATAATATTCTATCATCTCTTATTTCCACAAGTTGAAACTTATTTAACAAGTTTATTGATTGCTTTTGAGAAAATGAAAGCTTCATATCAAGTTTTATTCTTTCCTCGCAGCTTATTTTGATGCAGATTAAAGTTCAACATTGAAAGAGCACTTCATTGTCATCTTCCTGGCTATGCTTGCAAATAAAGCTGAATCCGATTGATCAACTGTGATATACCTAGAGCAGTGAGTTCCTTTTGTACTAAGTTCTCAATTTGGTGACAAAAGAATTTTTAGTTTCCCTTCATGAAAATCTCCAAGTTGAATATGTTCATCATCTATCGCAATTAACTATGTATAGTTTCAGTTAATATTCAGTTAATATTTATCTATTTTCCAAAACCTAAATATATTGCACAACCTATGCTCTTGTTCTACCCTCACTAAAGGTATAATTTTATAGTTATCATATGATTTTTGATATGTTAAATCATTATATAATTTGTTTTTTTCCTGAAATGCGTTGAATTTGACATCTCTCCTCATATTTTTTCTGTAAAAATTCATCAACTGAGGGTGAACAGTTTGTAATTGAAGGATGAAAAGAAACAAGATGAAAACCCCTTATCAGATGTAAAATTGGGTGAGGTTTACGAATTATATCTTGTTATGAATCAAGCCCTAATCATTGGTATAATTTAGATCTTGCAGATCAATAATGAAGCAAAAGATCATATGATCATGAATTCAAGATCAGAAAAAGATTTTCGAGCAAAGCAAGAAGGTGATGCCAGCAATTCCAGCAAATTTTCGAAGATCCCATCTTCTTCATCAAGACAGTGGTCATCAACCTTAAAAAATCCAAGAATTGTATGCGTCTCACGTAACTTTAAGGGCAAAGACAGGCATAGTAAGGTGTGTACTGTGAGGGGATTAAGAGACCGAAGAATTAGGCTTTCGGTTCCTACTGCTATTCAATTGTATGATCTTCAAGACAGGCTTGGACTCAGCCAGCCCAGTAAAGTTGTAGACTGGCTACTCGATGTAACTAAACACGAAATTGATAAGCTTCCCCCTCTTCCAATGCCAACCGGAATGAATTTCGGCCATTTTCCTCATGATCATCATCAATCATCTGGGCTTTCCTACTTTTTGAATACAAATCAAGCATACGCGAAGGATTCTGGACTCAATCATGCGTTTTTCTCGCGCAAGGAAGACTCAGGGATCAAGAATGTAAGTAACCATGTTGAAAGGGTACATCAGAATCAAGAAAACCAAGAGGGTTTTGGTGGATATGTGGCACAGAATTTTTTCCCACAAGGAAATTATCAATCTCCTTTTCCTACACCCTTGCTAAATAACTCCTACTTTAATTGGGATCCTAATTCAAACTTATCTTTATCTCAATTTGGAGCTGGAGGCCAATCTTTTCCAAATCAAACAGAAGAATCCCAAAACAATATTTCTGCACCTTCAAGCTCTCAACTGTACTTCTATCCATCCGCGACAACAATACCATCTTTAAATTTTCCTCCATTAATCCCTTCATTTATGACTACATCAATGGAGAATGAGTTGAGACAAATCAATCATTTCCAGCAACAAAATTCACAGATGCCAACCCTTCATTTGATTAGCTCTCCAATGATACCTTTCGGGTCGAATGCCAATCAGAAAACTGTCCAATCGCCCAAGAATTGTAACGAAGAAAGCAGCAGTTCTTAGCCATTTAGGAATTGTTGCACAATACTGAGGATCCTGGAAGAAAAGAAGTATTCAGTTTCCAGCTTTGCAGATAATGGAACACAGTTAAGGCATTCGTGAGTCTTTATATACTATTTATTTCCAAAAAATATATATAGGTACACTGAAAATTTGTCATTTATAACATTTGCACTGTCAGGTTCAACTTCAGGAGCTAACACAGTTGATTACATACTAATAATATGTAAAATATGAGACAAGTTGCATGCAGTTTTATGTGCTGGTTAAGTAGTACTTTCTATTATTTGATTTTGCTGTTCCCTTCATGTTATTTTCTTGGGGGAATTTTCCTATTTTCTTGCTATATGTACCATTTCTCATAATGTTCTTCGACTGATTTGTATAAATTATTGAAGTCTATCTCTAGAACTTATTTTCTTTTGAATCTTGTTTCGAGTTCTGCCGTAGTTACTCATATAAACCTTCAAACGTGTTGAGAAATGAATTGAATAATTTCGAGATTAGGTTAGAGCTCTACAGTAGCAACTTAAAATTTCCTCCAATAAACACAATTTTCCTACCTTTTCTTTTATCCATAGGCTTTCTTTATTTTAATTGTGATGTTTTAATTAGTAGACTTTTGAAGGAATCAAGGCTAAATTAAATTCTCTAAAAAGAAAGAGTTTCTCTTGGTACCGAATGTCCGATGAATTCTTTCTAGTTTTTTATTTTTTTTAGCAAGTTTAAGGGTTTGGGACAATCCCTAGCTATGTATTTATATCCCAAATTAGTATGTCGAAGGAGACGTCATAGTCTTACCTCAACAGATTCATGAAGAGGAGAGGGAGAGTGATTATAGAATGTTGATACAACAAGATTATAGAAACTAGACTGAATGAAGATTTTGTCTGCAACTGAAAAAATAGATTTCTTCCCATCTCTCAGCTGTTTTTAACTTGGAAAATGGCTCTTCAAATAGAAATATATCATAATACATGAATAAATATGTAACATCGTGTTTGATCAAATATATACATGACATATTATCAATTTGTTGACAGCTTATTTGTATTATTCATAATTGTATTCTATGCATTTCATCAAATTCAGTATATTTGAATTAAAATAATCTAGTTTTCTTGTCATCGACAAAAAAAAAAAAAAAAA